CCCAGCCACTAGCAAGAAACTGGTAGAAAACTTGGCTCAAAAAGGAGTCTCCACCATAAAGCATCTGTAACATATGTTATGAGAAAAAAATATCATGTAAATTTTATTATTCAGGTTAAGACACAATAACACCACTAGCAAGACACAAATAACAAAAATCGTAACAAACAGGAAGTACAGAGTTGGCAAAAAATTGAATAGTCACAGATTTTTTCTTAAAACCAAAAAATCCCGTCAACTTAAATGCTTTACAGTGGAGCAACAGATCGAGTAAAAAACCCATGATCGAAAAAATTTTACAAATTTCTTTACTGCTTGGCATTTTATATCTTTTTAACCATACTCGTTGGTTCACCAAATAAAGGTGAAATTAAATTTCTGGATACAGTTCTCAACTTTATATCTTCCACTGAACACTGCTACTGCCTTGAAGCAGTTCGAAAATGGTAAAACCTGAACGCTGTTCGGGAAATATTCCAACCAGCAGTGACGGTTGCGACGTAAAATATGAATAAAAACGTAATCGGATAGAAAAAAATATGAGTGTTTTTCAAGATTGGCAATGCTGAAAAGATTCTATTAAGTAATTGTAGTAAGTTCAGGAACATTTCAGAACTCATATATGCATATTTAAAGACTTTAAAAAACTTCATAATGGTTTTCAAACTACTATAAACTACTATAAAGCGTCAAGCATTTTTTGGATACTATGCAAGTCAAGTAAATCATGCACAAACATTTAGGCAATTTTCTAAAATTCTCTGACTTTATCAAAAAAACTAGTGTAAAACCAACCTGTATATCCCAAAAATGTTATGTATATATAATAAACAATTGCCACAAACCAGATAGTATTGCCATAAAAACGTGGCAAAAGAGCATCATATTCAATAAGGGCTGAAATTCATAAGATAAAGAGCAAAAAACTATATTTGCTAGCTAACTATTAAACGTTCTTGACAAAAAAAGATAATCCATTATTTTATAGGAAACTCGAATGAATTTAATAAAGATTTCGACTTACATTTGTAGGTCAGAGGCATCAAGACATGCAAAAGCATAAGCATCGGAAAAAAGGCATTCAAATGTACATCAAAGCAGTATCCCCATTCAACGTCTTGATCAAAAACACGTCGCAAATAACGATTTGACAAGAACCTTTAAACAGTGAAAAATGACAGTGCAATAAAAATTAATTCAAACACCAAAAACATGAAAAAAATCGAATTTACACTTCACTACTATTTAAGAGAGTAAAAAGTCAAAGATAAGGCTATTTTTTAAAAAAGTGATAAAAACGTCCTGCCACACATCATAAGCACCTACCATAGTAAAGTGGCGATTACTATTCCAACACCTATACAGTCCACAAAGACGACCCAAAGGAAAAATTTAACAAAAGCTAGAAAGTTTAAACTCATCACTATAGCAAAGAGTATACTCGAAAGAGCAAGAGACACGGCAAGTAAAACCAAAAACGCGGGATCATCTCTGGCCCACTGATCCTTCGTTCCTATAAGACTTTTTAACCTCAGTAAATATTCTTCTGCCGTTCTCACTAAACGGCAGACTAACCGCCAAGCTGCTGCCAAAAAAATATGGGTTAAAAACAGGTAATGTAATAAAACTCCCACACTTGTGCTTTTACATTCCATTAAATAACACTACTAAAAACCAAGAACATTTTACCTATAAATTTCCACAAATTATGACCATTATCCACACCAGAAAACTACCTTACCACTTATTATCAAGCATTCAATACAAAAAAAAATCCAAATCTGAATAATTACTTTTCCGATACATGAAATTACGATATACTTTCTGCGGTTTTACCAAAAGATATATCATCTGCCACACTGCGAACTCAAAGTCCATTTGTTTAAACCGGACAAGTCTTCGGAAATATCGGCTCAGTTTAGCACCAGCAGTCATCCTAACAGCTGTTAAACAACCAACGCGATCGGCTGAGCTGAAACTGAAGATTTTCTAAATCTACAACTGACACGTCTTCGAAGAACAAAGTCAAGAAATTTAAACAAAAAAAATTCATCAGATTTCTGCGACAAAAACAAGTCAAAGCTAATTACAAGTTGCTGTAAGTCGACCTTCCGCCAGGAGATGTATACCCACTAGCGCTTGGTCGTACTCCTCTCCCTAAGGTGACAGAATTCCTGGCACTCAATGGAGAATGTAGCTGAGAGTAAGGGACTGAAGGTGATGATGGCGGTATCATCGAATGTTCACTTAACTCGATAAGTACTTACGAACTTCTTGTCGAAGGCAACAAAACACCATCTAAGAATTCGGGATTTAGAATCAAGTTAACTGGCCGGTCCTGCAAACGTTAAAATTATACGGTTTACCGTAAGCGTAGCCAAACTGGAACTCGCGTGAGCCTCGACACGTGCTTAAAACAATGCATTTAAATAAATCACCCACGAAGTTCTAAAAGCGCTTCCACGTAATATTGCTTAATGTGAATGTTACTTCTGATCTCTTTAATACAACTAGTCCCCTTATGCAAGCTACAGTAACACAGAGAACTGGAAACCTCTTAAAGATGGCACTCCCCGTAATCTTAAGGCTATCGAAATTACTGCTAAACCACAGACAACCCATTATTTCGGCTAACTTAAACAAACTCTATCCACTTAACTAAAATCCATTTAAAAAAAATAGGAAACAAACACTGAACGAAAGGCCAGAAACAGTATTTAAAGAATGTTGAAACAAAATAAACTAACAAAACAAAGATATTCTTGGCAAACATTTATCACGTAATTAAAGAAGCTGGAAGACATGAAGCGAGCACAACAATCACAGGAAACATATAAAGCACGGCAGTGTTATTTCTCAGTGTTACTAGCTCGAAGTGCGAGTTTCAGATAAACTATTAATACGGTGTTCACGATACTATTCAAATGATTTAAAATAAAGTGGTATCGAAGACCAATCTGTATAATTCCCGAAAACAGCAAGTCGATTAAAATTCACCATAACCCTAAAATCATGAATAAATAACTAATTATAATAGGTAGAAAATATATCAGGTAAGATAGAAGTAGACTTCTACAGGCGCTCCAAAAAATCAAAAAGCAATTCTTCAACGTTCAGCGAAATATTACCGTACGGCAGACCACATATGACTCCTTAATAAGAGCAAATACTACAAAAAGTTGAATTTTAAAAGCAAGCATGCGAGAAATTGCCTTATAAAAAAGAAATACACGAAGACGCTTCCATAAACTACCACTATTAACAAGATAATTACGTTTGGAAAAAGTAACGTACTTTATACCGCTGAACTGTGGTAAGAATTCCACTAACTTCTGGAGCATCACTTCTTCTTCTGTTGGTTAACTGTAATGTAATGGAAAAACACCACGAGAAGAAGCATAGCAACACCAAGAGCGTTAGTCATTATACCCAACTGTACGTCTGTGACCATCACGAAGCCTAAAACTAGGGCAAAAAATTGTGTTAAAATGATGACATGCAGATTAAAAAAAAGAAAAACGAAATTTCTTAAGGAAGAGAGTTGTAACGAGTGACTGAAAATAGGTTTTATGCGAAGGCGAAAAGAGAAAATTTACTGTTGCAAAGATGGTGATTAAGCAAAAATAACGTAAAGTATTTTTAAAAACCACAAATCAGATGTAAATTATAAGTAATTTTAATTTTTAATAATGCAAAAAACACCAAGGAGAACTTCCAACAATTTGTCGACTATCTCGATCACAATGATACGATTATTTTTTTTAACTTTCAACTGCCGTACGACATTAAAATGATACTGAGCGTATTATTTCTTTCAGTATACACAATTGCAAAGCAGCAATGAACTCAGAAGAACAGAGGAAAAATATAATAAAGAAAAAACTTATAAAACTGAAAAGCATTTCATATGCAGAGCAGCACCAAACATTTGGAGACAGTTTTCTTTTTCAGATTTTTTTGGCATGTTACCAGACACGTCATTGAACGTCCATACTTTAAGCGTAATGAGAGATCTATTTATGACGCGTGAAATGATTATAAAACAAAAGGTTCAAATAATTACAGCAAACTTTTTTTTTCATTAATTAAATGATAAAAAATTATAAGCACTATTTTGCAAAACATCAACAACACTTTTTTTCAGTTTCAATTTTTATGACAAAAATTTAAGATTCTTCAATTTTTTTGTCTGCCAAACAACT